CCCTCCTCCAATCACAGAATGCCTTGTATTCATTAAAGTGCCAGACTTTTTATAAAATGAGGAGGTGCCTAGCAAGTATCACACAGTAATCAGTGTGCTGAGTGTACTGCAGCAGGTACTAAAAGTCTCAGTGCCAGACATTTGGCTTTGAGAGGCAACAGCTGCCTGACTAAAAGTAAGATATTTAAAGTAGAACTGAAAACACCCTTTTTTGTTTTAGATAGAGTAAGGGGGATTATAACCCCTGTCAGTTTCTTTTCTGCCATCTGTGTCTCATTAGAGAGATTTCCCTTCACTTTTGTTCCATAACCACAACAGTGAGGGGATCTCTGGTTGTCTAGTATACCCATTAGAAAATTTCCCTTTTATTCCTGTTCTGGTCACCACTCAAAGTTTGGGATTTTCATCAGTTTTAATGATAATAGAAAGGATGAATTCCCCTAATGGGGACACAGACAGAAATAAAAAATAAGTTTTGCCTTCTGTTATGCTTTAATAACTAAAACTAAAGGCAAAACATTTTGTATTTTTGCCCTGCCAGTCGTGATCCCTGTCTTCTGTCTTTCCAGTGCTGATCTCTGTCCATTGCTTTTCCAGTGCTGATCCCTATCTTCTGCTTTTCCAGTGCTGATCCCTGTCCTCTGCCTTTCCAGTACTGATCCTTGACTTCTGCTCTGCCAACCGTGATCCCTGTCTCCTGTCCTCTGCCTTTTCGTGGTGATCCTTGTCCTCTGCCTATCAAGTGCTGATCTTTGACTTCTGCTCTGCCAGTGGTGATTCCTGTCCTTTGCCTTTAAAATGGTGACCCCTGTCTCCTGCCCTGCCAGCAGTGAACCCTGTCCTCTGACCTGCCATCAGTGACCCCTGTCCTCTGACCTGCCAGCAGCGATCCCTGTCTTGTGCCCTGCAGACCATGTCCTTGGCTCAGCTGATCCCTATCCTTGGCTCTACTGGCCCCTGTCCTCTGTCCTGCTAACCCCTTATGCCCTACTGATTCCTGAATACTCTTCTGCTGACCTTCCAATCTTTGCCCTGCTGACCCCTGTACACTGCCTCACAATCCAGTGGCCTCTGTATACTGCCCTACAAACTGCTGACCCTATACTCTGCCCTGTTGACCCCCTGTACAGTAACTTACAAAATACTGACCCTGTCCTCTACTGTGCTGCACCCTTGTACATTGCCCCACTGATTTCCCATCCTCTTCCCCCCTGAAATTTTTTCCTGCACCCCACATCAGACAATTAAGATCTGGCCTTGCCCCAGGATGCAATTGGATATTCCTTGGATCAATTTCCCCTGGTGTTATTACCTCTAAAAATGAATATCACATTATATTTTGTGCATTTAGGAATATATCCAGCTCTTTTTAAAAACAAACTACTGAGCTGGCCAGAACCAGTTCTTGCAGGAATCTATTCCACATTCTCACAGCCTTACTGTGAAGAAACTTATATATATATATGTGAAAGTTATGACTGTAATGACCTGGAAGTGAATAACTCTACACCAAATTGATTATAGGGACCACCTATGCATTTATACATGGCGATCATACCCCCTCTTCTCAAAGAGAGAATAAGTTCAGTTCCTCCAATCTTTCCTCATAGCTGAGCTCCTCCATGCCTTTTATCAGTGTGGTTGCCCTTCTCTGTACTTTCTCCAGTTCTCTGATATCCTTTTTGTGAATTGGTGCCCAAAACTGAACTGCATATTTCAGATGAGGTATTACTAATGATTTGTACCGGGGCAAAATGATGCCTCTCTATGCAGGCCATACCTATTTTAATATAAGCAAGGGTTTTGCTTGCTTCACGGCTCATGTACACGGGACATTTGGAAAACTCTTCTAAATAATGGAAACTGACTGCTGGGAAAACATAGGTTAAAAAACGTCAGTTTATCTGTGTTTGCATAGCGCGTTTATGCGCGTTTATGTATGTTTGCATTTAGAAGTGTTTTTAAAAGATAACCTCAGAAGACCTTCCAAAATGATCAGAATGCACAGAAAAATATAAAAAAATTAACTATTTCAGACATTTTGAGAGGAATAGAGAGAGCAGAAGCAGAGAGAGCAGTATGTGTTGAGATGACCTGTCTTTTTCTGGTTGTATTCACTATGGATCCCATCATGAGCATAATGCAGCACGTTCTACCATTTTTTCCTTCACGCAAAACCTGGAACTGACTGCGCTGGTGTACCGGGTCCATTTTAATACATGGAAAACGCTTTGCATGCGCTTTGCATGCATTTCTGATGATGAAAAGGCTCTTGACAGCATTTGGATATGGAACAGTTAAAAAAAAACGCTTCTAAACGCATACGCTTATAAACGTGGTTAGCTGCGTTTACAAGCGTTTACACACGTTTGGCGTTTCAAGCGCCGGTAAAATCTACTCCTGAACACAAGTTTGGTGCATTCAAAAACACAACTATAAACTCAACTGCCTATAAACGACTGTAAATGACATAGTGTATATGGACACATAGGAAACATTAGGGAGAGTTAAGGGGTTGCTGAAAAAAACGCTGAACAGCTCCTGAACGTCAGTTTAGGAGCTACAGTGTACATGAGCCCTTAGAAACTGCAGCTTGGCATTACATGCTATTATTAAGTCTACAATCTACCAGAACTCCCAGATCCTTCTCCACCATTGATTCCCCTATCTGTACCCCCCCTAGTATGTATGATGCATGCATATTCTTAGCCCCCAAGTGCATAACTTAACATTTATCACACAGTGTTGGGCCCTTTTGGGTCACAGGAAGGAGGTGCGAGTTTCTGAACGCTTAGCCCACATTCTGAAACTGGACAGAGCTGTGATTTGTTCTTTAGCTGCACTTATTACATATCTTAAAGAATTTCATTTGGAAAAGATACTTCATAATCCAAATCAATTTGTGCCAATGTCCAGTTCAGTAGCGTGCATGAATATAAATGGGACAACTCTAAGAAATCTGGAAATCTTACAAAATCAACTCCTGTGGGAGCCAGTTACATCCACAGAGTGGTCATCACTTAATGAGAAGGCTGAGTGCAAAGCGTGGGATAGCGAAAGAGACCTGACCAGATCTGACCAGACCTCTGATGAGATATTTGAAGTCCCTATATTATACAAATGTGCATAAAGGTTGCGCATCTGGTGAGTGCGCAACCTACTGTATCCTAATTGTTTCACAGTATGCACAGTCTGTGTCGTTTGGAAATCAGTAGATCGGTTGAGATCTTGCTCACACCTTCACGTTGGACTTATTCTTGGATATAGCATTTTTCTTCACGTTATATACCAGCCACAAATCCAGTGGCATATATATGAGTGCACAGTGTCACTTTATATCTTTGTATGATTTTATGTATGTGTATATATACGTTTATTCATTTGTGTTTTTAGCGCTGCACCTTTTTGTATATCATTGTCTATTAGAAGGTCTTATATGGTGCCTTTGGTGTACAGCTGCTGCTATCTAGAAGGCGCTTACTTGTTTATACATTTTTAGCATTTCATGAATTCATGTTGACTTCTGCTTAATTTTCTAGCAAAAAGTCTTCTATGTTGTCTTTAAGTAAACGTTCAAGTATCTTCACAACTATAGAGGTTAAACTAACTGGACTGTATACTTGGTAACAGGGGCGGATTGACAACTCATGGGGCCCCAGGGCAATAGGGGATCATGGGGCCCCTGTGTTCTTGCCCAAACTCAAAAAAGTCTATGAAAAAGGTACCAGAGGCATCTCATGGGGCCCCCTACTGACCCCGGCCATCGGGCAGTGCCCGAGTTTCCAAATGGTCAGTCCGCCCCTGCTTGGTAAAGACTTTGATCTTTTTATAGAAATTGGCACCACATTGGCCTTACACCAATCCAGTGGTACTATGCCAGTCATTAAAGAGTCCTTAAAAATGAGATATAAGAGAGCTTACCTCTGTAAGAACCCGAGGGTGTAATCCATCTGGTCCAGGTACTTTATTCACCTTTATTTTAAGTGTTTTTGGACCATACCAATTTTGAGCCATTGTGGATCATTTGGGACTATGTCAAAATTATACCCATTAAAGTCTCGAACCCCCCCATGCTCCTTTGTATACACTGAGCTGAAGAAGGTATTTCATACATTTGCCTTCTCCTTGTCCCCAATAAGCACCTCAAAATGATCCAGTAAAGAACCTATATGTTCAGACCTGACCTTTTTACTGTTAATATATTTGAAGAATTTTTTGAGGCTGGGGGAGGAAGGGGGATGGGGGGAGGGAGTCACCGACATCCCCACCCACCCAAATTCCAACCTTACTGCCTGACAGGGTTGGACACATGCTGCATTTGTTCTGCGTAGCTTTGCAGCTGCAGCATTTTTTACTAGGCTGCAGAGTTTGTGTCAAACTCACACATTTTGATCACTTTTCAGAGGGTGGTGAGCACTGCTTCCTCTCTGAAAGAGACCTTTATGGTATTCCATTATACTTGCAGTCATCTGCTCATTATTATTATTATACAGTATTTATAAAGCGCCCATAGTTCGCTCAGCGCTGTACATTACAAAGGGGGACAGAACATGTGACGGAACAATATCAATACAATGCAAAACATGAGGGGATCGAGGGCCGCTCATGACTGTACCTTGTTTCTTCACTACCTAATAGTTGGAGGATACACCTTCCAATCACAGATCTGTAACTATAGCAACTGCAGCAGCCTTGTCTAAGGTGATGGAGTCAATGTGTGACAGCAGAGGTGGCCATACATGTCTCCAGGGAAACCATCCCATCTCAGCATCCAGACCTACAGACCCCCCTTATGAGCAGAGCTGGGCACTGGGCGGGGCCTCACACCCCATCAGCCTTTGTGACGTTACGTTATACATATAAAGCAGAATCCGGGAGTGGGAGAGCAGACGTGAGCTGACAGAGGAGACGGCACGGTGTATCCATAGTAATAGTAACAACGGTCCGTTCTCTCAGAATAGCAGCATCTCCTTCCTCTCCGCACACAGCGCTCCTCCGACATGAAGACCAAATTCTCCTGCGGGGAGGAGCTGCCCGATTCCCTGGGCTTACTGATCACTGCAGCCGGGGGACTGGTGAGCGGCCAGAGGATCGGGGAGCCGGGGGTGGAGAGTCCGGAGAAGGAGGAGGAGAGCTGCAGAGCGCCCGAGGACGAGCCCGATCCCCGCACTAGGCGCAAGGCGTACCGATGGTGCAAGGAGTTCCTGCCCGGGGCCTGGAGGTTCCTGGAGGAGGAGCGATTCCACATCACTGTCATACGGTCAGTGCTACACCGATAGCATCTCGCCACATTGTACGGCGCCTGTACACTGCTGTCTATACACCCATACCATCCGATCTCTGTACATGATCTATACACCCATACCATCCGATCTCTGTACATGATCTATACACCCATACCATCCGATCTCTGTACATGATCTACACCCATACCATCCGATCTCTGCGCATGATCTATACACCCATACCATCCGATCTCTGCGCATGATCTATACACCCATACCATCCGATCTCTGCGCATGATCTATACACCCATACCATCCGATCTCTGCGCATGATCCATACACCAATATCATCCGATCTCTGCGCATGATCCATACACCCATACCATCCGATCTCTGCGCATGATCCATACACCCATACCATCCGATCTCTGCGCATGATCCATACACCCATACCATCCGATCTCTGCGCATGATCCATACACCAATACCATCCGATCTCTGCGCATGATCCATACACCCATACCATCCGATCTCTGCGCATGATCCATACACCAATACCATCCGATCTCTGCGCATGATCCATACACCAATACCATCCGATCTCTGCGCATGATCCATACACCAATACCATCCGATCTCTGCGCATGATCCATACACCCATACCTTCCGATCACTGCGCATGATCCATACACCCATACCTTCCGATCTCTGTACATGATCCATACACCCATATCATCCGATCACTGCACATGATCTATACACCCATACCATCTGATCACTGTACATGATCTGTATACTGCTGTCTATACACCCATACCATCTGATCTCTGTACATGATCCATACACCCATACCATCCGATCTCTGTACATGATCCATACACCCATACCATCCGATCTCTGTACATGATCTATACACTCATACCATCCGATCTCTGTACATGATCTGTATATACTGCTGTCTATATCATACCCCATACCATCTGATCTCTGTACATGATCCATACACCCATACCATCCGATCTCTGTACATGATCCATACACCCCCATACCATCCGATCTCTGTACATGATCCATACACCCATACCATCCGATCTCTGTACATGATCCATACACCCATACCATCCGATCTCTGCACATGATCCATACACCCATACCATCCGATCTCTGTACATGATCTGTATACTGCAGCCTATACACCCATATCATCCGATCCCTGTACATAATCTATACACCAATACCATCTGATCTCTGTACATGATCTGTATACTGCTGTCTATACACCAATACCATCCGATCACTGTACATGATCTGTATACTGCTGTCTATACACCCATACCATCCGATCTCTGTACGTGATCCATACACCCATACCATCCGATCTCTGTACGTGATCCATACACCCATACCATCTGATCTCTGTACATGATCTATACACCCATACCATCCGATCTCTGTACATGATCCATACACCCATACCATCCGATCTCTGTACATGATCCATACACCCATACCATCCGATCTCTGTACATGATCCATACACCCATACCATCCGATCTCTGCACATGATCCATACACCCATACCATCCGATCTCTGTACATGATCTGTATACTGCAGCCTATACACCCATATCATCCGATCCCTGTACATAATCTATACACAAATACCATCTGATCTCTGTACATGATCTGTATACTGCTGTCTATACACCAATACCATCCGATCACTGTACATGATCTATACACCAATACCATCTGATCCCTGTACATGATCTATACACCAATACTATCTGATCCCTGTACATGATCTATACACCAATACCATCCGATCACTGTACATGATCTATACACCAATACCATCCGATCACTGTACATGATCTATACACCAATACCATCCGATCACTGTACATAATCTATACACCCATACCATCCGATCTCTGTACATAATCTATACACCAATCCCACCTGATCTCTGTCGATGATCTGTACACTGCTGTCTATACACCAATCCCATCTGATCACTGTCCATGATCTGTATACTACAGCCTATACACTGCAATACCATCTGATCACTGTACATGGTCTATACACTGCAATACCATCTGATCACTGTACATGGTCTATACACTGCAATACCATCTGATCACTGTACATGATCTATACACTGCAATCATACACCAATACCATCTGATCACTGTACATAATCTATATACTGCAATCCCATCTTATCACACTGTACATCACCTATACACTGCATTCCCATCTGATCACAGTATCTAAACACTGCAATATCAGCTGATCACACTGCGCAGCACCTATACACCACAATACCAACTCAGCACAGTATCTATAAAATGCAATACCATCTGATCACAGTACATGATCTATACACAATATTCTATACACCAATACCATCTGATCACTGTCCATGATCTATACACTGCAATCCCATCTCATCACACTGTACAGCGCCTATACACTGCAATACCATATCAGCACAGTATCTATAAAATGCAATACCATCTGATCACAGTACGTGATCTATACACTGCAATCTATACACCAATATTATCTGATCACAGTACATCACCTATACACTGCAATCTATACACCAATACCATATGATCACTGTACATGATCTATACACTGCAATCTATACACCAATACCATCTCATCACTGTACATGATCTATACACTGCAATACCATCTGATCACTGTACATCACCTTTACATTGCAATCTATACACCAATACCATCTTATCACAGTACATGATCTATACACGGCAATCTATACACCAATACCATCTGATCACAGTACATGATCTATACACCAATACCATCTGATCACAGTACATGATCTATACACCAATACCATCTGATCACAGTACATGATCTATACACCAATACCATCTGATCACAGTACATGATCTATACACCAATACCTTATGATCACAGTACATGATCTATACACCAATACCATCTGATCACAGTACATGATCTATACACCAATACCTTATGATCACAGTACATGATCTATACACCAATACTATCTGATCACAGTATATGATCTATACACAAATACCTTCTGATCACTGTACATGATCTATACACTGCAATCCCATCTGATCACACTGTACAGCGCCTATACACTGCAATGTATACACCAATACCATCTGATCACTGTAGATGATCTATACACAATACCCTCTCATCACTGTAGATGATCTATACACCAATACCATCTCATCACACTGTACAGCGCCTATACACTGCAATGTATACACCAATATCATCTGATTACTGTGCAAGATCTGCACACTGCAATACCAACTAATCACACTGTACGTAATCTATACATTGCAATCTGTACACCAATAACATCTATCTGATCACTGTACTGGATCTATACACTGCAATATATACAGTGTAATACCAACTGATTACACAGGTCATCACCTATACACTGCTGATGCCTTCTGATCACTGTACAGCAATGGTCTCCAAGCTGTGGCCCATTGCTTGCTTTTATTCAGCCCTTGGGGCACTATTCCATCCAACAATGGGGCATTATTCCCCCCATTAACACCAATGAAGGGGCACAATAATGACACCAATGATGGAGCAAAAATCCCTCCAATGACACCAGTGAGGGGGGGCACAATTCCTCCCAATGACACCAATAATGGAGCAAAATTCCTCCCAATGATGAAGCAAAATTCCTTCCATTGACACCAATTATGGGGCACAATTCCTTCCAATGACACCAAAGATGGGGAATTTTTTTTTCCCACAGACATCGGGACCTTTTCTGCTACCAATGGCCACAGTCTGACCCCCTCATAAAGTCTGAAGGTCAGCAAACTTTGCTTAGAAGGTTTGGAGACCACTGCTGTACAGGATCTATACACTGTAATGTATACAGTGCAATACCAATTGATCACAGTATATGATCTATACACTGCTAATATCAACTGATCAATGTACAGGATCTATACATTGCAATATATACTGTGCAATACCAACTGATCACACTGTACATACCCTGCAATCTATTACACTGCTACTACTATGTGATCACACTGTACAGTAAATTCACTGCTGCTACCATCTGATCACATTGTACACTATGTACACTGCTACTACATCTGATCACACTGTACAGTATATACACTGCTACTACCATCTGATCACATTGTACACTATGTACACTGCTACTACCATCTGATCACACTGTACAGTATATACACTGCTACTACCATCTGATCACATTGTACACTATGTACACTTATGCATTCCAATCACACTGTACAGTATATACACTGCTACTACCATCTGATCACACTGTACTTTCAATAATCTGTTGCTACCAACTAAACATGCTGTACAGTCGATACCAGTGGTGATCAACTTTCTTGATATGGGGGATACAAGAGGTGGTCGAAGACTGAGGACATGATACAAGAGATGATCAGAGACTGCAGACATGATACGAAAGGTGGTCAGACTGTGCACATGATACAACCACTTACCCCCTTAAGGGGGAGTGGTTGGGGGATTGTAAAAATGCGGCTCAATCATATAATTTTGCAGCCGCCAACCCCCACCTCCCCAGCTGTTAGTGTAAACAAACTTTAAGGGCTCATTCACACCATGTGAGTTGAGTACCATTGATCAATGTAGGCTCAATACAAGTGTACATAGAAAACAATTGTTCTTTATGCACCCTGTTCGCACCATACATGTGCAGTGGTGCATGTTGTGTAAAATGCAGAATGTCTACATTTTTATACAGTGTGACAATGCAGAGTTGAATGAAATGTCATTCAATTTTGCATTGTCACATTGCATAAAAATGTAGTGTGACAATGCAGAGTTGTATGGAATATCAGAAAATGACATTTCATTCAAGTTAATGTAAAAAAAAAAAAAAAAGCAGTTAACTGCAATGAGTTGTAACAACATGTCACAACACCCCTGCACAACGCACACCAGTGGCAATGCATTATGCAATGGATTCTGCACCCCAGCCGGTGTGAAT